CAGCCAGCTGGCTGGGGAATTCTGGGAGTTGAAGTCCACACATCTTAAAGTTGCCAAGGTTGAGAAACACTGCCATAAATATGAAAGGAAGCTAGGAAATATGGAGGACATTCCTGCAACGCTCCTCCATCTCACCTGCAGGGCATCTGAAGGCAAGGTGGTGGAAGTGCCATTCAAGGGGGATGTGGAACACACCTTGAGGGATATTCTGGGTGGCATCCGCTCTACCTGCACGTACGTGGGAGCCGCCAAGCTGAAGGAGCTCAGCCGCAGGACAACCTTCATCCGTGTCACCCAGCAAGCAAATCCCATCTTTGGGGGGACAGATAAGCCGTGATGTTCTACCCTGCACCCAACCGGGGTGCCGCTCCTGGGGGAATCAAGCCTCTCATACCCACCTATCTCATCTCAAATTCCAAGCCAGACAGGATGGCTCTTTTCCTTAGAAACGGAGTGATTCCTCCATGCCAGACAAGTCAGCAACTTCCTTAAGGACAGGCACGCCATTCCTCTCTCTCTCATTCCTAGCACAACAATTACTTTTCCATTCAGAGGAAGGTATTTGCGATCATTTTATTGGTCTACCGCTCTTCAAACACTCCATTACTTAAAGGAGCCTTTACGTCTCACAGTTCCGTCGCTGCTTTCCTGAGACTGCCTCGGGAAGCACAAGCAGCCACCGTCGCCACCACCTCAGCCTGAGACGGGTGGATGAATTTTCCATTCCCCTCCCATAGGCCAGATGAATGAAGTCAAAGCTTTTACAGTGTTTACTGAATAAAGCTCTAAAATAATTTACAAGGGCTGGGCTTTGGGTGTATTTGCTGGAGGGGACGAGTGTATCCATCACACAGCTGGAGAGGTTAATCTCATCGGAGAACTAGCATACCTATAAGGAAAGGAAAGGCAGAACAATGTTAAAATAATGCTGAGTGACCCATGGCCATTTGATCTAGGCTGCCTAGCCTTGTCCCAAAACTTGGCCTTCCAGAAACCCCTGCTGTAAGGGGCTCTGAATTGGGGGTTCTCTTTGGGAAGTTGCCTTCTCAGCCTCTGGAGCACCTGGAAGAAATCACATGTAAATCTTCACCCCACCAGCACAGCTTTCCCCACCCTTGGTCCTTGCAGACTTGGTGGCCTTCAATTTCCACAGATTCCTCTTGCTCACTTTGGCCAAGCACATAAGAAGCTGGAGACCAACGTAGCCAAGGCAGAATGGCTTAGGCTGTGTTGAAGCAGACAGCCCACACTGGGCTGCTGCAAGAGAAAGAAAAAAGTTTGGGGCAGATTTAGGCCTGCCGCTCTGTGTTCTTGTGGATACTCTTTCAAAATTTATGACTTGGATGTGCTGGGATTTTATTGGTAGAGACTCTGCAGAGCCCTGAGTTGAGTTTCTCTGGCAGCCAGACGCTGTAAATACATGCATGCTTGTGGGATATACTCAGGGTCAGTGAGGCACTTAGCAGGGAAAGGGGAGAGAGCAGGGCTGGGTCACTTTGGGGGAACTGGTGGGCCACACCTGACTGTTGCAAGGGCCGCAGGGGGGAAAACAGTAATGTTAAGCGTAGGCAAGGCTTTCAGTTCCCCTCCATTAGTCAAAGTTTTTTCCCCCCCAAACTATATTTGGAAATACAGTTTTCAGGTGTTTCATCCCTCCCTGTGCCACGCATTTTCAGCAATAGGCACCCAAATGGTTAATAAGAGTTCTTGATCTATTTGTGCCATGAATTACTCTGAGAGTCTGGTGGAACCTATGGGCTCTTTCTCAGAAAAATTTATAATTGAATAAAATACATAGACATAGATTGTTTTACAAAGAAAAACAATTACGCTCCCAGTTATCAAAATTCTACCCACTCCCACCCCCACATCTGTAATATATTATAGGAGAGTCATGCTAACATTTGGTGGCAAAAAAGCAGAAGCTTCTGCCTTTGAATAAAAGTGGTTTGTCAGAAAAGGTGCCACCAGATTCTTTCTGGTTTCTAGTCATATATATGCTTCTTTAGTCATTAAATCAGTAATAACACAAGCTAAATTTCATCTAGAGTAGTGTTTCTCAACCTTGGCCGCTTGAAGCTGTGTGGACTTCAACTCCCAGAATTCCCC